TGAATTTTCTATTTACGCAGCTTTCTGGCGGTAAAGGTCAGATCATAAACTTGGGTGCTGGTTTTGACACTCTTTATTGGAGACTAAGGGAGACAGGGAATAGTCCTGCAAATTTCGTGGAACTCGATTTTCCCAGCATAACTGCAAAGAAATGTTATCACATCAAGAAGCACAAACAATTAATCGATATGCTAAACACCGAAGGTATTCTATTACTCGATCATTATCTCATCACTTTTGCGTTCACTCGCATTCTTTTTTTAATTACACAGGCAACTGCATACTTTTCAGATGGAGAAATCCGATTTTCGACCACAGACCTGCATGCCGCAAATTATCATTTGGTTGGTACAGATCTGCGACACATAGCGGAGCTAAATAACAAATTGGCCCAAGCCGAAGTCAATTTCAATTCACCTACTATGTTCCTCGCAGAATGTGTTCTAGTATACGTAGACGCTAGCGCGACATCGTCACTATTGAAATGGCTAGCGGGCAAGTTTCCAAACAGTCTTTTTGTCAGCTACGAACAGGTCAACATGAAGGACAAATTCGGTCAGGTCATGTTATCGAACCTTCGCAGCCGTGGATGCTTATTGGCGGGCGTGGAGGATTGTGAATCGTTAGAGACTCAACAGAGACGGTAGGTCTGCATCCTCATTAATTCGAACAATGTCAGATTCAATAGAAAATTGAAAAAACCTAAAATTTTAAGGGGGAAATTTTTCATTTTTTTTATCTTTGAAAATCGAAGACTTTCATGGAACGTTATCGGTTTAGAGAAATTTTTGGAATTTTGCTTTTAAATTTAAATTCTGTCCTTTTTTGAAAACTTGTTTTTTCATTATTTTTTCTTGATAATACAAAATGTCGGTTAGCAATAATATAATATATACATGCACGTATATTTATATTCATTATCTCACGAGTTCAAGAAAATCAAGGTAACATTAGAACAATAACACAACAGAAGAGAGTATACAACAGAATTACAGAAATAACTTACTGATATTGTAGTGAGCTTTCCCTACATTTATCCTATAAATTCACAACTCCAATTAAAGGATAGATACAGTCTCCTGGAATTCCTATCTTCTGGTAATTTACAGTATGTAGTTTATATTATTTGCATTCCATTTAATTTCAAAGTCACATTAAACTATTGTCTAAATTTACCTGCAATTTTGAATGAAAATATCTTGAGAATCTTGGAAATCTCAAGGAATTGTTTTACAAGATTTCGGTAAACACTTTGGATTCGGCAGGTCAATAATTCAACTCGCAACTGTTTTATCGCAGATTTACCATAAACAATTGGGAAGGTACGAGCGCGTGGACGATGGTGGATGTTTATGATTCACTGCCTGTAATGGATCGTAGTCGAATCGAGCACATAGAGATGCTGGACGAACGAGAGCTTCTTACTCAGCTGCTCCAACATTACTGCATTGCCGTTGCTTGGAACGGACAAACATTTAAAAATCTGTCTATAGCACAGGGTTAGGTGTCACCGCCTAACTCCTTCTCTCTGTGTCTCTCTTGCGAGTTACTCCAGGTAATGACATCATATAATTGACGAGCCCTCGTAAGTTGCGTAATACCTCCATCAACAGCAGGAGATTAACTTTCTCAGATTGCGCTACATCTCGAGTTAGGGCTTAAGCACAAAAATGGTAGTAATTGAGTCGTGGAACATAAGTTATAATTGTCGATTGATCAAAACATTGTACGTTGACTTACGACTATGACTCAAATTTCACAATTCAGTTGTGATCATTTTTGTGCTGATCGCTTTTGTGCTGCCCTTAATCGATGAATTGAAATAGAATATCATGTTACGAGAAAATAGTGTCCTCTGATTAAAAATGCGTTTAATTTTTTGTCTACAGAAACATCTCGCCATAATGATTTTTATATAACCTTAAAGTATATTCTTCGTTCTTCACTTCTAAGAGAAGGGTCAAATAGTGTATACGGATTTTGTCGAACTTTAATGTTTTGATACTTACATTATTAGAAATGTGCTTTACATGTAAATGAAGCTCGTGATTATGAATGGAATTAAAAGTAATGAATAATTTAACTGAAAATTAAGTTGCAGTAGTTACTTAAATATAATTTGTATAAATTTGTATAAATTTATAAAATTTAATTTTATTCATAAAATTTTGTGAAAAGTATATTAAAATTTATAAATTTCCATGAAAAATATATTAAATTGAAATTTAAATTTTAATATGAAATTTTTAACAGTGTATTTAACTGTGTACATTTTTAATTGTATTGCAAAACAATATTATTCGTATGAGTGCAAGTGTTGAAATAATTATATAATTATAAAATAATCATTTTTCTATTACGTGTGTTGCCTAATCATTCACTTAAATGCACATTCTATAAAAATGTACATACATAAAGAAAAGCGCACAAAAAAATCCGATAAATTCTCATAACTTGAATATCGTGTGATGCCATTTGCTTATGAATTAATACTAAATATACTTAAAATTAGGTAAAATTTGTGTGTACACTACTTGGTTCTTCTCTTGTAAGTGCGTATTATACGCGTCACGAGTTATTTAACGAGTGTTGCAAAGAGAGAAAGAGGGAGGTGCGATTGCGACGATCAAATCGCACGAGATACGTTATGCGATTAGCTGATGAATGGCCGAATAAGTTCTAACATCCTTTCGCAAACGATATTTCCAGTCATCCTAATTTACATGCAACATATCTGAATTATATGTAATGTATAACGATTCTACTCGCAAAAGATCGTTTCGCTCTTCATTACAGACTTATGTATAAAGCTTTACGATCGTTATCATAATTATTATAGATCGCTATTGTTATATAAGGTCTGTTCTTTTTAGCTAAATTTTTTGTATAGTTTATCTTTCTTCCTTTTTTCACATCGGAGAGAAAAAGAGAAGAGATAAACTACGTAAGAAGCTCAGCTAAAAAGGACAGTTATAGTTGTAGCCAAACGGTGCGACGCAATGCGCAGAGTAATTTATTATAATATCATTGAAATATCAATAACAATTCAACTTATTAAATTTTTATCAGTTTGTTATATTCCAGTATTATAATTTTTTTCGTTTTAATAAGTATAGTTATAGAGTCCGCTTGCTGAATGCGAAAGATAATTTCATACATACAAGATCTGCAAAATCTGTTTTTTTTTTTTATCTGTTTTCTACGATTTCCGTGCATAAATAGGAAACGCGCTCTTGCTGTGCAGAAAAAAGTCTAATGAGAAAAAAAGTCTAGAAAGACGTAGTAGAAAGTACTAAAAAAGCGCAGATCGATATTTTTAATCTTTCATCGCAAAAAAAATACAAAGCTATTTTTCTGAAAACATTCGTACATAGAACTTCGATTCTACGAAAATTTTAACGTATTCCGATATTTAAGAAACTGTGTAAAATTATTTCTTACCTGCGCGCGTTCTTGTGTGTGAGTGTGTATTATATGTTAGAGTTTACTGAATTATTGAACCGTGATAAGGCGATTAATGTTACGGTGCAAGCGCTATAAGCGGTCAGTTTCGTATAAACGCGTATCTTGCGATCCGCGCGAAGAGAGAAATATTAGATTGTCAAAAAAAATTCAAAAATCAGCCTTCGGTTTTTACATATAGAAAGTTTTTATATATATTATTATAAAAGGTCTTTATTTATATGTTTATTATACTCTTAATTTAAATTTTATGGACTTTCTACAATAAATACAATTATCTAAGCTTTAAGTCTTAAACTGTAAGAAATTGATCAATGATAGTCAATTATTCTTCTCATATTCAACTGTGATTGATAAATTTTTACGACTTAAGACATAAGCTTAGATAATGATGACTTGTAGAAAATACGATACTTATTTTTCAGAATAAAGAGTATATCATGTTCAAAAATCTTGTCACCAATCTTCCAGTTCTATTTGGTACCATTAATCTAGACATTGAGATTCTCACATTCGATAAAATTCTGCATTATTTGATCTGTTTCGCAAACATTTCTTACAAGGACAACGATTTGTAACTTTTGAGCAAGTCGAGGCAATTTGTAACATGATTATGAATTGACTGTTAGCGAATTATTGGACATGATCTTTATTTTGAGAAATAATTGTAACTGCTTCGTAATAAAATTTATATAAAAAATGTGTAAAAAATGTGTAAAAAATCGCTTATTTAAAAACCGAAGAGTGATTCAGAACTTTTTTGACAACCTAGTCTATATACATATATAATATATATACACGAGTGATTACTTAAGATAATAAAAGCAAAAAATATATGCAACGAAAGTAAGACTTAAGTGGTACTCTTGCGAAAGGATTGACATGCGCGCGTTTGCGAGCATCAGCCTGAAAAGGAATCGGCGATATGCGTTCGTTTAATTAATTTTATTTGTTCTCTCATAGATAATGAATTCATAGTTTTTTGTTTGTCAAATCAAAATCAACTATGAAATAAAAAAAAGGGAATCGCCGATGTTCTTCGATATAAAATTCGACCGTCTTTTACATTACAACACGAGGAGACGCTTATGCTAGCACAGTATTCCGCTTCTTTTCACACCAATACAAAAAGTATGTTGCACTTAAGCAGATCATGTATCGATATACATTAGTGAGGGATTGACAAAGATTTATTTTCATATTGAGGAATATCAGGGTGACGCATGTGTATTCAGTCTAAGGATAATATGAGATATTATAAGCTTTTGAGACATTCGAATCATCCTTTTGTAGAAAGTGCATCTCGTTAGCATAACTCAGACTTTACTGTCGCGGGGAGATGAGACATGATCGAAATCATTTATTCAGCATCAATAAAGGAGCATTGATCGCTTTTCTGGAGTTTGACGGCCTACGGATTGAAATAGTTTTAGTGGTGTTGTATCGATGTATACAACGTGACTTCGGCGATTTCGCGTCAAACACGACGGACTTCTCGGAGGCTTTGTTCTCGAAAAATATCATGTACAAAAATACTAGAGAAATCTGTAATATATGTAAGACTTGTGAGACGAACTTTGACCTAAGAAGAGCGATGTCTCCTTTGTCTTCAAGAAGAATTAATCACGGAAGAGATCCAAATAAAGAGTGGTAATTTGATCTACTCGAGTAGATCGTAAATTCAAATCAGAGGATACAAGAAGGAGAACTTCATCTTGATACGATATAGAAAGGTTGGAAACTTATACAGACGAAACTAAGAATGTATAAGTATTATACATTCTTAGTTTCGTCTGTATATTATAGTATTTTCATACATTTTTGTATGTGATATTCTTTAAGAATAGTTCCAGGTCTGCTAACGAGCGAGTAACCACATTTTATCTTGTATTTTTCGACTATTTCGATACTTTTAAGTGTTACGCGAGTAACGGTAACTTATTAGATTTAAGAGACGATGAGAAAATGCAAGCGAATCCGCAGAAGGATGTACGAATGATTCTTCGATCTCTTGCTCCCTTCGACGCGTAAAATTATCATACCTGGAGTAACGAACACGTATACAAAAAAAAAAGATAGTCAGATGTTCTATTTTTCTCAGAAGTTACAAAAATTGCAACCATTGTTACAATATCTATCAACGTTCGTAGGTAAAATCTCCGCCTCTTCCTCCCTCGCCCGACATGTCGCCTTTGCACGTAGATGAATAATTGAGACCTATCTTTTGCGTTTTTTTTTCGTGTTATGTGTAAATCACATTCGAAGTAAAATTTGCTGATTTATTCGAGCGCTCGTTTATGTGTTCAAGTCAGCTTCGAGTTTGAGAATCAAAGCTCTCTGTAATGCAAAACTCCTATGCATCTACGTGTCTTTCGAAATATTATCGTGAGAATTCGAGCAAAGCACTGCCATCATGAAAATTTGAATGGGTCTCAAAGCTCATTGAACCTCAGTGAATTTGCAATTTTCACGTGCACTTCTTTAAGGCGAAAGAATAAAAAGGATTGCGACGAACCATCATTTACGTTATTTTTTACAGTTTGTGCAGCGAAACTTTCTCTTTTTTTGTGAATTTTTAGAAATGTAGATTAATTCTTGATCAGTCACGCGTTTAAGTTGAATCTATTGAGTCGAGTTATATTTTAATCGTACATTGCGATCATTATAACTCTTATCATTTCTTTCCTACATTGTTAAATAAGCGAATTAATAATTCTACATTATTTAATTTCAATAGACAACGAATTTTTCACTTCGCCAGAATTATCGCCTTAAAAGAAGCGCAAGTAGTTCGTTTTATTTATAAAGGAACAAACTAAGTGTCCACCTCTGATTAGTTACGAATTTTATGACATCGCATAGCTAGAATTATCGTAATTCACGATTAATTAAAAATGAGCGAGTTTGTAAGAATAAAACGAGACTTCGAAAGAAATAGAGAAAGTAATTTGATTCTCAAACTTGAGTAATACGATAACGTTGTACGGATGATGCGCGCAGCTTCATGTTTCTCCGCGTCGATTTCATTCTACATTACATTGATCTTATGTACGGATGTTGTACATCTTGAAAAAGAATAAGATATGAAATTCTATATATATATGGACATTCAGTGTGCTTCCACTGTCATTATGAACTGATAAAGTACGATGGAAAAATTATGCATCTTTATATTCGCATAATTGTGATATTGTTAAATTGTGCATTTATATAACGATTAGAAACAAAACGAGCGATCAGTTATTAATAATTGATTGTAGCTTCCTGTTTGATACATTTCTTTCACGTGTCCCGTGCTGAGGAGTTTCTTTAAGTGGGAAAAGAGAGCAGCTATGATATAATATTAAATTAAAATATTTTTAAATATATAATATAAAATATAT